TAGGCCCTAACAACTTCCTTTCACCGACATCATCCCAACACATAGGTGATCTACACTTTCGTCCATATAAAGCCTCATATGGTGCCATCTGAATGCTCGCATGATAACTATTATTATAAGAGAATTCCACTAAGGCCAAATGCTCATCCCAAGAACCTCCAAGATCATTAATACAGGCCCTCAACATGTCTTCCAAGGTTTGAATAGTTCTCTCTGACTGTCCATCAGTTTGAGGATGAAAGGCAGTGCTAAAATTCAAACTAGTGCCCAAAGCTGTATGCAAACTCGTCCAAAACATAGATACAAGCTCCGTGACAACGCCGCACACTCATTTAAGTGAGCGGATTTGGTCAATCGATCAACGATAACCCAAATAGCATTGTTACCACTTTGGGTCCTAGGCAACCCTGTCACAAAATCCATGGTAATATGTTCCCACTTCCATTCGGGAATAGGAAGAGGTTGTAACTTACCTGCAGGTCTCTGATGTTCAACTTTCACTTGTTGACATACCAAACATTGAGCAACATACTGAGCAATTTCCCTCTTCATATTATTCCACCAAAAGTTCCTCTTCAAGTCTTTATACATTTTAGTGCTCCCTGGATGTACAGTATACCCTGAACTGTGAGCTTTTCTCGGGATTTCTCTCTTGAGCTCTAAATCATTAGGCACACACAACCTCTCTCCAAATCTCAAGGTTCCATCTTTATGCATACAAAATTCCATCTGTAGCCCTATTTCCATTTCAGCCTTAAGTTTTTGCAACTGAGGGTCTCTTCCTTGAGCATCTTTAATTCTATCAATCAATGTGGGTTGAACCCTAAGGTTTGCCAACTGCACTCCATGGTTGTGCCATCTAATCTCAATATTCAACCTCTGTAAGTCCTCCAAGATATTCTTTTGGTCAGTGATCAAGGTAGCCAAATTACTCGGGGTCTTTCTACTCAAGGCATCCGCCACTGCATTAGCTTTTCTTGGATGATAATTGATAGTCAACTCATAGTCCTTTAATAGCTCCAACCATCTCCTTTGCCTCATATTCAATTCTTTTTGAGTGAAAATATACTTCAAACTTTTATGATCAGTGAATATCTCACATTTCACCCCATACAGGTAGTGCCTCCAGATTTTCAATGCAAACACCACGGCAGCCAACTCCAAATCATGCGTAGGATAATTCTGCTCATATGGCTTCAACTGCCTAGACGCGTATGCCACTACCTTATCATTTTGCATCAGGACACAACCCAAGCCCATCTTCGATGCATCACTATAGATGGTAAAACCTTCATCTCCGGACGGAACTATAAGTACTGGAGCACACACCAATCGACTCTTTAGATCTTGGAAACTCTTCTCACAATCATCAGACCACTCAAATTTAACCCCTTTTTGTGTTAAACGACTTAAAGGCATAGAAATTCGGGAAAATCCCTCAACGAACCTTCTATAATATCCCGCTAAACCCAAGAAGCTACGAATTTCAGTGACATTAGTAGGCCGATTCCATTCCACCACCGCCTCCACTTTCTTGGGGTCAACAGACACGCCATCTTTAGATATCACATGACCCAAAAATTATACACTCTCCAGCCAAAATTCACACTTCTTTAATTTAGCAAATAATTTCTTCTCCCTTAATATCTACAACTCTATTCTCAGATGTTCTTCGTGCTGCTCTTTACTCTTTGAGTACACAAGAATGTCATCAATAAAAACTACCACAAACTGATCTAAGAAGGGTTTAAATACTCTGTTCATTAAATCCATAAAAGCTGCAGGCGCATTGGTCAACCCAACGGCATCACTAAAAATTCATAATGCCCATACCTAGTTTAGAAGGCTGTCTTAGGTATATCTTCCGCCTTAACCTTCAACTGGTGATAGCCAGAATGAAGGTCAATCTTAGAAAAGACTTGTGCTCCTTGCAACTGATCAAATAGGTCATCTATCCTAGGCAAAGGATATTTATTTCGGATTGTCACCTTGTTCAACTCTCGATAATCAATGCAAAGGCGAAAACTACCATCCTTCTTTTTCACAAATAAAACGGGCGCACCCCAAGGAGAAACACTAGGCCTAATAAAGCCCTTATCTAGTAACTCTTGTAACTGTTCCTTCAACTCTTTCAACTCTGCTGGGGCCATCCGATACGGAGCCTTGGAGATAGGACCCGTGCCAGGTATCAATTCAATGGCAAACTCAATCTCTCTATCTAGTGGCAACCCCGGTAACTCTTCAGGAAAAACATCAAGAGCGCCTAGCGCGTGGCAGCGCGTGGTGGCGCGTCGAAGCGCGTGGAACCGCTGGGCGGCGTCATATAGCACGTGAGGCACACGCGCCGCCTTCCATGGTGTTTTCTGGTCTAATTTTGGTACTGCCGGACTCCACTTTTCACAATAAATACATTTATAGTCTAAAAAATAATATTTCATGGACATAAAAATGAGATGTATCACATTCTCAAACTAATTTTCATACATATAATGTGTATATATATTTGTATAAAATTATACACATATTTTATCGCATACAAATAAGCACGAAAATACCCATATTGGCTCTGATACCAATGTAAATCATAAAGCATAATAACGCAGCGGATAAAATATCAGAATCATACCTTGTTGACAAGAACCTCGTGGGTAAATTACGTGCTTCTAGAATCTGATCAATCAACCTAGCAGTGGAGTGATACTACAAAATGAGTATCACCCACACAAGTCACAGTGCAGAGGCTTGATCGTTGTTTTAATGGGAGAGAGCCAGAGAGAGAGTTTTGAAAAAAAGGTTATGGGTAAAAACCACATAACGTATATCAGATATATGTATCTGATCTATTAAATATATTATATATAAAATATATTAATCAGATATAACAACCAATATCTATCTATCCATCTATCCATATCTATTGATATGATAAATATAGATATCCTGAATGGTTATTCAAATAAGTTTTAAATTCAAATTCAAACTTATATGGATAAGGTTTAAAAGGTTCAAGTTCAAAAGGTTCAAAGGGTCATGTCAAATGGGTGCCCAATTTCTAACAAGTAGAATTAAGATTGTGTTTAAACTTTAAATTTGTAAAAGAATAAAATAAAATGAGTTGACTTCTATTTCATTTCTCTTTTCTTTTCAGTTATCTCCAAGAATCTATCCAATTAGATAAAACTCAAATACACCCTTAACTATGCATTTTTGAAGCATTGTCATCAAATGCTCTGTGGTCTCTCACATAGATATAATATGATCAAACTTAATTGTGCTCGTCTTCTGTTGAAGTTTGAAACTAGACCATCTAGTTAAGTTAGTGGATTGACTTTTAGGTCTCACTTTGATAATCTGAATCATTCATGTTTTAGAATTTGTTGAGCACATCATCCATGTAAAAAATCAAGTCGATTGAATAAAAGTAAAAACACATGTTCGGATCAATTATGTATGAATTGTTTATTTTTTTACCATCTATTTTTTTTTTTTTTATATAAAACATATCCAAACACGTGTTTGTTGTTATTCAATTGACTTATTTTTTGCATTGATGGCGTGCTCGACGAATCCTAAAATGTGAATGATTTAAATCATCGAAGTAGGGCTCAAAGTGAGCCCACTAGCCAGACTGGATGGTCTAGTCTTAATTTCCAACTGGAGACAAGTTGGATCCAACTTGGTTAATTTTTGTACGTTTCATTAACAAAATAGAAAATCCCTACTCATTGATTCTTATTAATGGTGGGCTTTCATTGGCAAGACCGGGCCAAGCTTAGGCTATAAAATACAAAAACTCATGTTGTCAAGGCTGTCTTAACCTGAATTCAAGCTTAAAAATCTCATCTCAAGCTCAATTTAAAGTCTGCCAATAAATTTATATATTAAATAAAAATAAATATTATAAAACTAAAAATTATTAATTTTATAATCAAAGCTTACATAAAAAATTAATATTTAACTATGACATTCCAACCCAACAATTGTTATCTAACAATACAGATAGTCCAAGACAGCAATTCCATATTTGTTGACTGGTAGCTCTTCGTAGCTCACTTTACCTACTCACAAATCAAACGGTCTGAACAGTAGATAACCAACAACCAAAGACAATTTGGAACAACAAAGTTTAGTATAATAGCAACAAACATAAAATATCCAATCCTATTCATGAATTACCTTGAAAATTTTCTACATAATCACAAAAATACCCTGACAAAACTACATGACCTCCACTTCACTGTCTTCATGGGAACAGTCTATTGATCACTTCAAATCTCAATTTGGTCTGCACAATCACAAATTCAAATTTTTATGAAAAAATAATAAAATGTATAGTTAGAGGAGTCCGATTTTTGTCACCCACCTAATGGATGAAGATGCTCTGCTATGAAATTTTCTGTAATGAAACAATAAGTTTTAAGGGGTGTAATTTTAAGGACAAAAATAAAAAATAAATCAAGTAAAAAATTTAAGGGGTTGGCCAAATAGTAAAAATCCGAAAGATTTCGCGTTCAAGCCTCCCAAGGAACTATAGGAGGTTTGCAGGGTTGTTAGTTTCAAGGCCCAATTGAGCTGGGCTTTGGGTTAAGATCATTGAGCGAAAACAATGACAGAGGATCCTTATTTATCCCCCATTGCACATGAATAGTGGTTTTGTTCACACATGTGACGAGTGTCGCAAGATGCATGTCGTGATCGGTTTCAAAGTAATGGGCTCTATAAATTGTATTAACACTACTTAAACTAGTAGACTCTCTACTACTTTGGACCAAATAAATGTGAGTTTTATTCACATAGCTTGTTAAATGTGTGAACAAAATCAAACTACCTCGCATATAGGCGAACAAAACTCTCCATTTTTATTGATTAAAACAATAGGGTCTGCTGTTTTAAATGAGCCTACCTCACTACTTTAATTTTGGGATGAGGGGTGAGGGAATATACTTGAGCTGACTGGTAGGTTAATGTGCACTTGAACTATATAAAAACACAAGACAGAAAGATAATCAGAGATCATTTTCCTCAAAGTTTGGATAATGGGTACCCAAAAAACCCAACTCTCACTCCTTTTCTTGTTCTGGGCATCATTGACATGCCTCAGTTCAAGTCTCCCTAGTGAGTTCTCAATACTATCCCATCAAAACCAGTTTATCTCAGAAGAAAGATTGACTGAGCTCTTCCAACAATGGAAGGAGAAGCATGGGAAGGTCTACAAGCATGAACAAGAGGCAGATAAGAGGTTCCGAAACTTTCGGAGCAATTTGAAGTATGTAATGGAGAAGAACTCGAAGAGAAAGACGAGTTCAGAGCATACAGTTGGGTTGAACAAGTTTGCTGACATGAGTAATGAAGAGTTCAGAGTGGTTTATACATCGAAGGTAAAGAAGCCCTTTAAGAAGAAGATGAGCATTCAGAGGAGGAGTGTGGAGGGGAAGGCGGCATTGAATTCCTGCGATGGACCGTCTTCCTTGGATTGGAGGAAGTATGGCATTGTCACTGCTGTCAAGGACCAAGGAGGCTGTGGTATGTTTTCTAATCGAGAAATGATATATATCACTGGTTTTTGGTCACCGTTTTGTGTCACTCCCTACATGAATACTCATTATTGGTTTTCTTATTTAGAAATAATTATTAAGCACTTAATGAAATTAACTCTTTGATTAAGTCTAAAATGGAGTGATCATTGTATGTTTATTCTCATGTTTGGTTTAATTATACAAAAAGGAAAAGAAATGCACTATATTTTTGCTCAAAATCATTCGAGCCAACGAAATACTACTTTTAGATGGTGTTTCAGAGCATAAAATTATATGGCTATATGTTCATGTTTGTGGATTGGGCCATAGTTATTGCCTCGTTTGGTTGTAGATTAACAGTAGGGGTTTAGATTAATTATCCACTAGACTTGTTTATCCCACATTTGATTGTGCAATTTGTTGATGGGATAATGTAGCCAGATAAAATTAAAACTATATCTTAGAAATAAAAATAACTCAATCCTAAGGATGGAACAGAGTGTGATACGATAAAAATTTTCAAGCACATTCTTCTTTCCTATCCCCTTGAGACGTGACCGGGTTAGTTCTTTCCTCTCTGGTTGTGAGAGATTTTTCTTTGGAAAATGTCTCGTAGCTCAAATTTTGTGGCTCAAAAGTGGCTCAAATGGTCAAAACGACGTCGTTTTGGCTTTTTTTATGTTGTTCTGTACTCAAAACGACGTCGTTTTGGCCATTTGAGCCACTTTTGAGCCACAAAATTTGAGCTACGTAACATTGTCGTTTTTCTTTTTCCTCTCCTGCCGAGCCAATCGGGCTTTGGATGGTCCGGCTTTTAAGCTAGGCTCGGTCCTGTGTCTTTGTAAACCCTATAGGAATATGTGTACCTACAAATACGAGTGTTGAGTTTCATTGTAATATTCTTGATTTTTGTTCTTAGGAGTCTTTCCTAATCTTTTCATTAAGCTATTGATTTTGGGTTTTATATAGGAAGTTGCTGGGCATTCTCTTCAACTGGAGCAATGGAAGGAATAAATGCATTAGTGACTGGAGACCTGATTAGCCTTTCTGAACAAGAACTTGTGGATTGTGATTCCACCAATGATGGTTGTGATGGTGGTTACATGGACTATGCTTTTGCTTGGGTTGTTAGCAATGGTGGAATTGATACTGAATCTGATTATCCATACACTGGAATTGATGGTACCTGCAACACCACCAAGGTCTGTGTCCCTTTTCCAGACTACTATTAACTAATAACTACGCAGGCCAAAGACATTCTGTTTCTAAATTCTTATTTCTCTAATTCATTGCATTCTCAATTATTGGATAATATGAAAATCTCAAGACTATGAATCTCGAGACATGATCCAATAGTTGGAAGTAGACCTTTGAACAAACCAGTTTTGACTTGAACTGAGCAATTGAAATCTATTAAGAAAAATCCAATCCAATAATCTGATGAGGCCCAAACCCAACTAGTTCGTTTATTATTGGATTTGATTTCGATAAATTCAATCCAATACGAATTGAATTCTTATTCAATTTTTTTATAATTGGATCATATTTGGATTTTGCAAAATCTTATCTGAACCTAGTCCACTGTCAGGCCTGGTTGGAAGTGTATTTAGGCTTCGTTTGGGAACATGTTTTTTTAGTAACTTTTTAGTTTTTTGGCTAAAATGTGATATAAAGAAAACTAGTACGTTTGGGAAGACTTTTTGGCTTTTTACGAAAAAATATGCAAAAAGTAGAGAGAAAATAGAGGGTTCGTTTGGTTTGTATTTGTGAAAATTTTTTGGGAAATTTTCTCTACAAATAAGTTTTTAAAAGTAATCAAATCAAATAAATTTTTCCAAAAAAATTTCTCAAAACTTGTAAACCAAACAAGTTTTCCAAACAAATCTCTCTCTCACACACATCAAATCAATCACTTTTTCCAAAACTCTTTCTCAAAATAATTTTCCAAAACATCTTTTGAAAAAAATCAAACCAAACAACTTTTCGTACTTTTTATCTCTAAAACACATCTCTCAAACACAAACCAAACATACCCAGAATCTTTGACTTTTTGGTATGAGTTGTTGCCTTTTTTGACTTTTTTAGTAACTTTTTGATTTTTTTACTATAAGGTGCACTTGCCAAACGAGACCTTAGTAAGAGGGGTACACAAATTTAAGGACAGAAATCATTGACCACATGGTGCTATTTGTTGCAGCTAAAATAAGCTACTTATTTTGGTTTTTGGAATTGTGTCAGATATTGTAATTTTTGCTTACAATTTATGTGACAAAAATAGTTTAAATAAACTATTCCAATAGTTGGAAGTAGACCTTTGAACAAACCAGTTTTGACTTGAACTGAGCAATTGAAATCTATTAAGAAAAATCCAATCCAATAATCTGATTAGGCCCAAACCCAACTAGTCCGTTTATTATTGGATTTGATTTCGATAAATTCAATCCAATACGAATTGAATTCTTATTCAATTTTTTTATAATTGGATCATATTTGGATTTTGCAAAATCTTATCTGAACCTAGTCCACTGTCAGGCCTGGTTGGAAGTGTATTTAGGCTTCGTTTGGGAACATGTTTTTTTAGTAATTTTTTAGTTTTTTTGGCTAAAATGTGATATAAAAAAAACTAGTATGTTTGGGAAGACTTTTTAGCTTTTTACGAAAAGATGTGCAAAAAGTAAAGAGAAAAGGAAATCTTTAACTTTTTAGTATGAATTGTTGGCTTTTTGACTTTTTTAGTAACTTTTTGACTTTTTGACTATAAGATGCACTTGCCAAACGAGGCCTTAGTAAGAGGGGTACACAAATTTAAGGACAGAAATCATTGACCACATGGTGCTATTTGTTGCAGCTAAAATAAGCTACTTATTTTGTTTTTTGGAATTGTGTCAGATATTGTAATTTTTGTTTACAATTTATGTGACAAAAATAGTTTAAATAAACTATAAAAAAAAATATGTTTTTTAAGCTAGACGGAGATACTTTTAGATTCCACCTATAGATTATCAGCTCATTATTAACCATTTATGCACATTTTGGACTTCACAATAAAAGCAAATCATGATTGACTTTGTTCTGTTTAATTAGGAGGAAACCAAAGCTGTGTCAATTGATGGCTATACAGATATAGAAGAAGAAGAGAGTGCTCTTTTTTGTGCTGTTCTTAAGCAACCCATAAGTGTTGGAATAGATGGTGGTGCAATAGATTTTCAACTATACACAGGGGTAACTCTAATTTCTATTTCATTTCACATTTCATAAACTTGTGAATCCAAAATCATACACTAATATGCTAATAAATTGAGAAAAAATTGATGTAATACAGGGAATCTACGATGGAGATTGCTCGGACAATCCAGATGACATAGACCATGCTGTTTTGATTGTGGGTTATGGGTCTGAAAGTGGAGAAGAGTATTGGATAATCAAGAATTCTTGGGGAACATCTTGGGGAATGGAGGGTTATGGATATATAAGAAGGAACACTAGTGATGAGTATGGTGTTTGTGCAATCAATGCAATGGCTTCATACCCAACAAAAAATTCATCTTCCCCATCTCCATCTTCTCCACCTCCGCCACCATCACCACCACCACCGCCTTCACCACCACCGCCACCACCTTCTCCTCCACCACCTCCCTCTCCATCACCTAGTGAGTGTGGAGACTCCTCTTATTGTCCTGCAACCGAGACGTGTTGCTGCATTTTGGAAGAGTTTGATTTCTGCTTTGAATATGGGTGCTGTGAGTACACAGATGCTGTGTGCTGCACTGGCACAGAGTATTGCTGCCCTCATGATTATCCCATTTGTGACATTGCAGAAGGACTCTGCCTCCAGGTATGAAATTTATTTTTTTGTACTTTTAACCATATTTAAGCCTATTTTTGTTCTAAATTTGATGTCAAATACAAGTTTCTCATTCTGAATGTGCATTTTTGGTTTTTTAGAATTATGGAGACCGGCTAGGAGTAGCTGCGAAGAAGCGAAAGATGGCGAAGCGCGAGCTCCCATGGGCTAAATATGAGGAAAAAGAGAAGAAACACTGGTCCCTCGAGTGGAGGAGGAACCACTTTGCTGCAATGCTCTGAAAATGGGATCCATTCTCGTCACCGGTTTGAAGTTTGAAGGTTGTTGTGACATGGTTATTTTGTTTCTTCCTGGCAGGAGCATTCATCATCCTGTTTTGAACAGATTTTAATTGGTATTGTTACTCCAAAAAAAAAAAAAAAAATAATATCGATAAGGAAGGAAGAAAGTTGTTTTATTTATTTATTTTTGTTCAGCGAACAGCATAGAGTGTCTTCATTGATTTTTCAATTTAAGATGTCAACGAACAATATAACATAAATGAAATGAAAAACCAAGAATGATACTTTGTAAATACATTAATCAAATTGCTACTATTAAAATTTGAAATTTGGATCAATTATATGCTGAAATGATGTCGGTACAGATACTCTGGGATGACAATGTTCCTGTTGAACTTCTATTAGAAATCTACTAGACAAAATCACTTGGAGCCGGGTTATGAATGAGGCTTTTTTAAAAATAGTATTTGCCCTTATCAAATTGTGTAACTTACTAGTAAAATCTGCCTTCCAAATGCAACGAAGTAGATATGGGGATCTTTTGTCTACGTTTGCATAAATGGAAACAGATCAAAATAACTCTGTAAAAACCGAAACCCAGAGAATCGGAGTATGATATTCTATTTCTACATAATAATAGAAATAGAATACCAGAAAGTAGAAAGCATAAAACTTTTGATTGAAAAATCGAGAGAGAGAGAGAGAGAGAGAATGAATTTCAAAGTTGATCTCTGAATTCTGGAGGTTGGAATGAATGTAATGGCCTCATTGCATGCCTGTTTAGGAAAATAGATGATTTACCAAAAGTGAATCAATCAATGAAAATAAAAATTAAATTAACAACGACACAAGAATTTTTACGTGGTTCTCTCAATGTGAGGTATATCTATATGACCAAAATCCGATTCCACTATCAACCAATAGTTTTCAAACAATTACAAACGAGACACAAAAAGTCTCACAAACCACTTTTAGGTGAATTCTAAATAATCACAAATAAATAAGAGGAAAGATCTCACCAAATAGATGAACAAAAGTTTTTAAAATAAAGTTGAAGAAGACCCAAAATAATAACCCAAATCAGTCACACAGTGGCTACCGAAATACTCCAAAATAGTCTTTCAAAACTAAATCGAAACAGATTGTAGAAGCAAAGCAGAATACGCAACAATTCTCCCTCTACTGACTTAGGGGGAACCATTAACCATACCTGTCAAAGTTTGACACTTGAAATGTTTGTCCCTCGACAAAGTTTTAGTCAACATATCTGAAATGTTATCATCCGTGTGAACCTTTTCGAATTGTAACAATTCCGAATTTAATACATCACGAATCCAATGGTATCTCACATCAATGTGTTTCGATTTCGAATGAAAATAAGAATTTTTACTCAAATGAATAGCACTTTAACTATCACAATAAAGCACATACTTGTCTTGCTTCAAACCCAACTCTTGTAGAAATTTCTTCAACCATAACTCTTCTTTGCAAGCTTCTGTAATGGCGGTTCAGTAGTTGAGAAAGAAACACATTTTTTGTAATTTAGATTGCCATGCCACAGCTTCTTCTGCAAATATCATCAAATACCCCGAAGTAGATTTCCTAGAATCAACATCACTGGCCATGTCAGAATCTGTGAACCCATCAAGTATTGGCTTACCATTCCCAAAACACAAATACACATTCGCAGTCCCTCGAAGATACCTTAGAATCCATTTCACTGTTGCCCAATGTTCTTTACCCAAATTTGAAAGAAAATAACTCACTACACTAACAGTGTGAGCAATATTCGGTCTTGTATAAACCATGGCGTACATCAAAGAACCAACCGCTAAGCATCAGGAATTTTCAACATCTTTTCCTTGTCCTTCTCACTTATAAGACATTAATTTGAACTAAGCTTGAAGTGACCCGCAAGTGGATGACCAACTGGCTTTGTTTTATTCATGTTGAACCTCTCAAGAACTTTTTCAATGTAACTTTCTTGAGACAACCAAATTAGTCCATTCTTTCGATCACGAACAATCTTTATACCAAGTATTTGCTTTGCGGGCCCCAAATATTTCATAACGAAAGATTTGCTCAACTCTAACTTGGACTTGTTAATCATGGTAGAATCTTGACCCACAATTAACAAGTCATCAACATAAAGCAAAAGAATAATAAATTTGCCATCAGGAAGTTTTTTTACGATGATCCGAAGTGGTTTTAGAAAAACCATTATTTATCATGAAAGAGTCAAAATTTTTGTACCATTGTCGCGGGGCTTGCTTGAGGCCATACAAACTTTTCTTCAATTTGTAAACAAATTTCTTTCTCTTTCTCCACAAAACCCTCCGGTTGCTCTATATAACTTTCTTAATCAAGGTTGCCATGAAGAAATGCAGTCTTCACATCAAGTTGCTTAACTTCAAGGTTCATACTTGCGGCCATGCCAAGTACAACCCGAATAGAAGACATTTTCACAACCGGCAAGAAAATTTCATCAAGGTCAACACCTTTCTTTTGCCCAAAGCCTTTCACAACAAGGCATGCCTTGTACCTTAGATTCTTGCCATCATTCTTCAATTTGAAAACCCACTTATTTTTCAAAATTTTCCTCTCCTTAGGCAACTTCACCAAATCATAAGTGTGGTTTTCAAGCAAGGAATTCATTTCTTTTTCCATGGTCTTTTTCCAATCACCTTTCTTTGCATGCTCAATTGCTTCTTGGCAGCTCTTGTGCTCCCCTTGATTGGATATCAACACAAATTCATTGGGAGGATACTTTTTCGAAGGTTGCCGGTCCCTTGTAGATTTTCTCAACTTAAGTTGTGGTGGTGGTTCTTGAGTTGGATGCTCTTCCTCAAGTTTGGGCTCAACTTCATTTGAAATAGCTTCATCATCTACATCTTCAAGAGGTGGCTGCACATCTCCTCAATTTTCATCATCCACTGAAGATGAAGGAGATAGATCCATGTCAATAAGATCACTAGTTTTTGGCTCCGATTGATCACCTTTGCCAAAGTCTTCAATTGTTTAGTCTTCAAGAAACATAACATCATGGCTTTGAATAACTTTCTTGTCGATTGAATTCCGCAATCTATAACCAAATTCATTACGTCCATAGCCAAGAAAAATGCATTGTCTTGACTTGTTATCAAGCTTGGACCTCTCGTCCTTTGGAATGTGAACAAAGGCTCAACAACCAAACACTCTCAAGTGCTCATAAGATGCATCTTTGCCGGTCCAAACTCTTTCGTGAATATCACCATTCAAAGGATAGGAAGGAGACAAATTGATCACATCAACCATTATCCTTATTGCCTCACCTCAAAAGGATATTGGCAATTTAACATGTGAAAGCAGACACCTTGTTCTTTCCACAATGGTGTATTTCATCCTCTCGGCAACGCCATTTTGTTGATGAATCTTTTTAACTATCATTTGGTACCGAATACCTTGGCTGTGACAATACTCATCAAACGGCCCAATGTATTCACAACTATTGTCTGTTGAGATGCACTTCAATTTTTGCCCTATTTCTCTTTCAACTATAGCCTGAAAATGCTTAAATACATCCAGATCATGATCTTTAGTTTTTAGTGCAAAAGGCCAAACTTTCCTTGAAAAATCATCAATGAAAGTAACAAAATAAAGTGCATCACTATGTGTTCTAACTTTTAAAGGACTACAAACATCCGAATAAATCAACTCCAAAACATTTTTTTTTCTAGAAGCAACATTTTTATGAAAAGAAACTATGTTGTGTACCCGCTAAGCAATAAACACAAGTTTTAAGATGTGTACCTTTCAAATTAGGGTAGAAGCTCTTTTTTTAACTAAATTTGTAGCCTTTTTTCACTCATATGCCCAAGCCACTTGTGCCACAATTCGGTAGAAGTATCATCCTCAAGTGCATTGATAAGATCTTTGCAAATTTTTCCTTACATCGGACAAAGTGTGCGAGCCTTCTTGCACTTAGCCGCCACCAAAGAACCCTTTGTGAGCTTCCATTTTCCTTCACCAAATTTGTTGTTGTAGCCTTCATCATTTAGTTTCTCGGTAGAGATCAAATTGAGGGGAATGTTGGGAACATGCTTGAAAAAGAACCATCTCTTGATTTGTTACGGCTTTGATTACGACCACGAGGAGTCTTACTCCTCGCCCTTGTTTTGCTTCGGCCTCTCACAACAAATGCTTCTGAATGAGAGAAACCCGCTGATTTTCTTCTAGTTTCTTTATTCGACAAGCTACTAGTGACTTGACTCATTGTGACAACTCCATCGGGCGTCGAATTACTAATTGTCACAACCAAAGTCTCCCAACTTTAGGGCAAAGAACTAAGTAGCATCAAAGCCTGCAACTCATCATCAAAAACAATTTTCATAGAAGTAAGTTGGTTAACAATACTCTTTATTTCATTCAAATGTTCTGGAATAGGGCTGCCATCTTTATATTTTAAATTAACCAACTTTCGAAACATAAAGGCTTTATTTGTGGTTGATTTTCTATCATAAAGACCTAATTTTTTTCCATAAATTATGTGTTGAAATTTCAATAGCAACATTATAAAATACACTATCATTAATCCATTAACGGATAACACCAACGATTTTTCGATTAAGCCTCTTCCATTCATCATCTTTAATACCCTCGGGTTTGCCACTATCACCCTCAATGGGCCCATACAAATTTTTACAAAATAATAGATCCTCCATTTTAGTTTTTTAAGTTACCCAATTGCTTCCATTGAAGCTAGACATATGACCCACATTCCCCTCTATTGATTTACACAAAAAAATAAATCCAAATAAACCGTAAGCTCTGATACTAGTTGTTAGGAAAAATAGATAATTTCTCACAAGTAAATCAATCAATGGAAATAAAAACTAAGGCGGAAAAATTAAATCAACAATGATACAAGAATTTTTACATGAATCTCTCAATGTGAGGTACATCCACGGGATTGAAATCTATTCCATTATCAACCAATAGTTTTCAAACGATTACAAACGAGACACGAATAGTCTCACAAACCACCCTTAGGTGAATTCTAAATAATCACAAATAAATAAGAGGAAAGACCTCACAAAATAGATGAACAAAAGTCTTCGAAACAGAGTTGAAGAAGACCCAAAATAATAACTTAAATCAGCCACATTGTGACTGCCGAAATACTCCAAAATAGTCCTTCAAAACGAAATCAAAACAGATTGTAGAAGCAAAGCAAAATATCCAACGTCGAAGCAAACCAATGGAATTAAATTTCAACAAGCACTATCTTACTGGAAAAACAATTTGTTGCTACCGCCT